TTGGCCTGATCCTAAAATTGTAAAACACGTCCATATAAAAGTTATTTTGTCTATTTATTCCGAACTTTCTCTCGCTCTTTCAACACGGGTATTTATTGACTGACAACTCCTGATTAAATCGATGTCCAAGTTGTGCGTGCGGCTGACCTTTGGCTTCAGAAGACACGAAGAGCTCAATGGGGCAATGGGACACCGACCCCCTTTGCACTGTCACCGAAACACGCGCGCGCTCTTCTGCCCGGCAGGGGGCAGCAGTGGATCAAGCGCGGGCATCGGCGGGGAGACGCGAGGCGGAGTTCGGAGAAATCGCGGGAGGAGTTGCCACCCACGTCCAGAAGAGGGCGGGCGAGCATCACAATGAGGGCGTTCACCGCGAGGTTTGACGCGTGCGGGCCTTGAAACTTGGTATTGTTGAAACTTAATTTGGAGCTTTCGTGAGTGCAGGATTTACTCCTTGGTTAAATTTCGATTTAAAGCTTTCGTAACTGCAGGGATTCATCTTCTTGGTTCTTTCGGTAAAGTCACGTAGAAGGGAAATAATAAAATAATACAAATAGAACAAAATAAAATAATTCTCAAGACTGAAGACGCTGTCTCCCCGACAGACTTGTTCTTCACCTCAGGATGGATGCTTGCGTTGTGGCCGAAACGTCGTGAGAATTATTTTATGTTTTATTTTCATTATTTGATTTTTTCCCTTCTACGTGACTTTACCGAAAGAACCAAGCAAATGCCCCAACGCTCACGAATAGACGTCGCTGGTTAGTTTATTTTGGGTTGCATTGTGCGATGTTCAAATGCCTAACTAGCATGTGGGCAAGTCGTGCCTTGGCCCCGTCTGATGGCCAAAGCTACGAGTGGGGGACCCCCCCTTAACAACCACCATGAGACATTTTCAACAGTGTAAAAGAACAACACTTACTTAAAACGCGGTTTAAATTTATTTTGTGATCATGCTTTCACATTAGATCTCTGTTTCTGTGATATGTATTTCATTAGATACAGGGTTATGGTTAAAATATTGACATCATACCCACACAACCTAACCTACAATACAACTATGCGTCATGAATTAACTGGTTTATGTGAATTTTTTTTGTTATGCTTTTCTTGGGAACTGAATTCAAGATGATATTTGGTTGACCCAAATTTTTTTTCCCATTTGGGGTTCTTCAGCCGCTTGGTCCTCCAAGCATTGGCTTAATTTTCGTACGACCAGCACCACTACTGTCTGGAACCTAATTTGTGTCTGCATCTCTCTCTCTGCGTTTCAGATGAATGATCCACGGACCCTCAGTGGACCCAGAAGCCAGCCTTAGTGATGCTTTTTGTTTATTTGCTTTTATTTACAATGCACGCATATACACGTTGCTAATCCAGAGTGATCTACTTTGCACACATTCTATACAATGCTTTGCCTTCATTATCAGTGCTTTGTGAATACATACAACAGGTTAGACTTCAGCGGGATGAATGGGTAGGTCCAGAGGTCAGGGTCTCGAGCCATGGTGGCTTTTATTTAGACCACACGTCCAGGGTGCAGTGCCAATGAGTCAACCCTGCCAGTGCATGGGGCTAGACAGCCAACCGGCAGCCACACGAGCCTAACATTTGTGATCGGGATAAACCCGTTGGGGATAAGTTTTGTTAAGCGAGAACCTTTTAAATAAACTCATCCACGAGCACATTTCGGTATTTGCAACCATCAGTACGGCACGGAAGGCGATCTCTCGCGGATGCGCGTAGTAATGGCCTACAGAACACAGCCTTGCGCCTCGAGTGCGCTGCGGAAGTGAATCGAGCGCTGGCGACAAATCGTGGAAGGCCGGGAGCAACTCGGAGCGCAAGACGGTGGCGGTTGCGGCCACCCGCCGCTCAAGTTCGGTCGGCGGTGCTGAGTTTTCTGGCCACACCGCCGCGTAATGTGTTCATGTTTAGGCGACGTGAACCTGGGGGATGGAGGCCAGGGGGACCAGTTCGATACAAAACGCAGCGCAAAATGTCGATCTGTGCAGCGTCCGAATGCGATCCCATCTCGAGACGCAGTCGCGAAACTAGGCTTGTTTGGACAGAGGCAGTCGGAATTCGAAAATTAAAAAAAGGTCTCGAGTCTGGCCTCCTTGTATAGGGGGTGCTACAGCACGGTGGCAGGAGGAAGGCGGCAAAGGAGAATCAGCGACCTCCCACAGAGATAAGGTTGACCGGGGAGCTTCAGCAGGAGGTTTTTGTTGGTGAAGCAGCGAGTGCATGGAGGGCAGTATAGTGAGTCTGAGAGGGGAAGGAGGTGGGCAGGAGTGAGTCCCAGAGGTCGCAACCGGGTACCCGATACCCGTACCCTACCCGATACCCGGCTACCCGTACCCGGGTACGGGTACGAGTAGCTGTTTGCGACCCTGGTGCGGCCGGGTACGGGTACGGGTAAGGAATCAAACCCCGTTTGCGACCTCTGGTGAGTCCCCACGGAGGATGCTGGTTGTGAGTGACAACATGAGTGACAACATGCGTGACAACATGCGTCCCTGCCAGGAATCGTCCTGGGGTCACGAGAATTGTAGTAAAGTGTATTGCTCACACATCCACCGTAGGCATACAGTTATTTTAAACACACACATCAGTTACCAGCACCTATATACGCAGTATGTATCGTACCATAATGACAAGAATGGTGACAGAATGGCAGCTAAAGCAGAGAGCGCTCGAGAAGATATCACCGCCGTAGAAATGGGTGTGGCTGAGATCATTTTTTACCTACGTGACTTTACCGAAAAAACCCAAGAATATTGTGCAGGAGCCAGATGGATTTCTGTGTAATAACCGACACAGAGGGGAGATAGAGGAATAAAACAAACATTGAGCATGTTTGAACTATTATATCATAGTCATTAAAATAAAGGCCGTAACTAGGACGACTAACGCATATGTTATTTTGCTGTTGAGAGTTAAAGGTCTGATTATATTTATTTTACTACCGATAGCAATGCATTCTGAGTTTCATTCTAGGCCAGCTTGGATGAAGGGAACACTAGAGTCGCCTTTTTCTTGAACACAACGTTCAACTCGGTGTTCATTAACCGATAAATGGCAAGAGCACTACAAATGTAAAAAATAAAACATCACACAAACACTGCTCATTGTCTCCGCAAACTACACAATGAATAAAAACAGATGGAAAAAATGAAACATATTTCCCTTTGCAGTAATTGCACGCGGCATTGCTGGGTTCGGTTTTACTTAAACGTGGCTTCGTGAAATATAAATTCCCCGACATCAGCGTGAGGTCAAGGCGCCATCACGATGAATTATTTACCGAGGAGAGCCTCGCTGGGTCTCGAGCCTTCACTGCGCTCGGGCACGTTTGGGTCTCATCCCACGAATCAGAGGTCGGCCTCGTGCGAGAGCAAACCCGGGGGATGCCCGCAATATACCCAGACGCGCGAGGTGGGGATGGGGTTGGAGCCCCCCCCCTCTCCCGCCCCCCACGATCGATACCGCAAATTCCTGCCCCCCCCTACCCCACGCCTACCTAACCCGGCAAGCCCTGGTGGTCGCCCATCATCCAAGCACTCAGGGGGGCATCCATTGAGTAGGTACGCAAAAATCTGTCAAAACTTGACCTCTCCCCTCCTCCCTCTACGCACGCGGACTTTTTACACCCCCCACTTGCGTACGTACGCCTGACGCACACCCCCCCCCCCCCCACCACCGAATCCTATAGAACGGCCGATATTTAATCCACGCAGATTAAATATCGGCCACACACAGCTTTGTACAAACAGTCATACTTGATCGTGTTATCCATCCTGACTGGTTATTAAAAACACGTCTATTATGATCTTGAAACAATTAAAACTCGGTGAACTCGTCTCTATATAAAGTACGTCGACTGAACATCTGCTGTAGCAGTCGCCCGACGTACAGAGCAGTGTTAGTGCTGAAGTCCCGGGGGTCAGCAGCAGCAGCACGAACAGAGCACCGCGGCAGCTAGAACCTTGAGCCAGCGGCAGTCTGCAGTGAGGCCGGGTTGAAGGGCGTGTGATCAGTCCATGGAGCAGCCCGCTAGACTATGTCAGACTCACTGCTGAGCTGCGTGATAACCGCAAACGTCGAACTCAAATTGTAAATGTTGTGGTTTTACTCTCCACCACAACGGTGGGCTGAAGTAGTAAACAAATTGGCGCGCGTTGTTTACGTGACAAATCCCTTGCTGGTTGTGTCGGGTGGTGGAGGGTGACGACACATTTGTACTTACAGCGATCTAACCCAAAACACTTTATTACGAAAAATATTGGTCGCGAAAGCCTACATGTTAAACTGACCTTCATACCTAGAGGAGCACAGAGCTTGGGTGTTGGGGGGGGGGGGGGCGGGATTTGGCGCAGGCCCATTGCTGGATGACGGAGTTCCCACTTCTCCGTGGTGCCTCCGACTGCCTCCGAGTGGCTCTCTCTCTCTGTCTCTCTTCGAGAGCGAGCAAATACCGTGCGGAGCGTTGCAAGTTGACATTGTTGGACGATTTTGGTGGTCTGCATTTTTGTCCTGGGTATGACATTAAATCGCATCCCATGCCAACAAAAACACAAACTGCGTTGAGAAAAGCAAGGGGAATACAAACGCAATTGCCCTTTCCCGGAAATGTGCTCGAGAACCCGAGCAGGGAATGTGAATCATCAAGATGAAGAGCGCAGGGGGGGGGGGGCATGGGGGTGGACATGGGGGGCAGGCTACATGGAATGTATGGAACTAGAGCCATGGGCCTGCCCTTTGGCAGAGAACAGAGGTCGCGCACAGCCCGGACAGCATTGTCTCGGGAAGGCAGCGGTCAAAGAGACCGGATCATCACTAAAATTATAGACGCCGAGCGTTTCGTAGTGTGACTCAACCCCGCCTGCCCACCCCGTCCTCACAAGCACGGCTCCAGTTTCCATTCGGAGTTTTTTTCCTCTCCCCCCCCCTCATTCTTCACACCCTAATAACCCCCACCACCACCACCGCCGCCGCTTCCCCCCTCGGCTTATAACAACATCCAGAAGACCGGGCTGCTTTGAAAACGGAGCCGACCGCTGCCAAGCGTTCGGCTGCGTGCGCTTTGTGCGACCGCTCGTCTTGGATACGACCACGAGAGCACGATCTGCGGAGCGGCTGGGGGTCTCCTACCGGAGCGAGCGCACGATCGCCCGAGTTCAGTTGAATGACGAACTCAACGAGAGCTCGATGCCACACGTGGCTACGAAATTTGCGCGCAAGATGACTTCTCGGCAGAGAGCAATTAATTGAACGCGAAAGTTGCTATTACTTTTGATTGCGTAACCGACGTATGCGTTGATGCTGTGTTACAAAAATCGCATTCGTGGAGCGACAGCACAGTACGTAATAGCGTAATGTGATACTTACAACAAAAATCATCTCACGTAAAATTAGCTCCTCGAAGGAGGAGGGGGACACCGTCATTTCACGCAAGGGAAATCCACACCGAGCTTGACGGCACTTCGCCGATGCCAGAAGTCAGAGAGAGGAGGCTCAGAATTCTGCCCACGTGCAAGGCGATGGGGAAGCCGGAGACGCGAGTCGCGGTGCAGAGCGAACCTCGGACCCACGACCTCCAGGGAACAGGACCCGCTCACCCTGGGGCCACGGGGTACACGCGGGCCGCCCACCCCCGTGGCCACGAGCTCACGGAGCGGCGATGCAAGCTGGAGCCGACGTCGTCCTGCGGACAGCTGCCAGGTGGCCAGAGCGTGGGAGCACAGCAAGTAGGTTCGCCGGTCGATCGCGCTGGATTTTTTTTTTGCTCGACGTTCCGATCGGCGTTCTGTTGCTGTTCGAGAACTGGGCGCTCAGCTCACAGAGTCGTGAGTTCCAATGCCGGTTGCAGGTCACTTTCTTTTTTATTTGACAGCCGCTTGTCAATTTCGCCTCTGTATGACAACCTTCCCATGCATTCCCTTATTGGTCACGAGTGTTGTTTGACCATCCTTGACCACGCTGGTGAGGGTGGGGTTGCTAAAAGGGAGGGCTTAGAACCGGTTCTGATATCAACTCGCAACCGATGCTCGCGCCTGGCAGGGAATACAATTCAGGGTGATTGTGTTCATAGCGCAATGCGATAACCCATTGCACCACCACTAAAACACACATCTTTGTTTTATGCGGTCAATAAAACGAAGTATCACCACTGTAGAAAATAAAGTGGTCGTCCAAAGGCACAGATACACATTTAAATTAGACTACGCAAATGTCCTGTCTGCCTGTGTAAAATGGGAGTGATGTGGATTACATCGTCCTGTTAATTGTTTCTTAAAGTAATCGGTTGACTTTCTTGTCACGTTTGCAAGTCACATGGGCACTGAGTCACTGACACAAGTTGAGCAGCTGCCGATAACCGACCCCTCGCCTGCTTAAACAGCTTGCATCTCTAATGGACCCGTAAACGTATCACACTTCATATGAGCAGAGAAATACGAAAGGCGGAAACGTGAGTGAATTGGAGGAACAGAGAAAGGGAAGGGGGGGAGGGAACAAATAAAAGGAGGGAGTCTGAAAGACCATCAAATCGAGGACAAAAATATCGATGGCCAGGAAGATCTGCCTGTCATTACCTTCGAAATGCCACTTTACAACTAGCTAGAATAACCCTTGCTATTACGAATTCCCTAAAATGATATATTCTGATGCATTTAACGTTGCAAGTTTTAACGTTGACAAATAAAACAAACGAATTAACTTTTCAAAGACGAAGGGGGGTTGGGTGGGTGGGGGGGACGCATGTCATTTAACGCACGCGAGAAATCTACACTTGGCGTAAATTCATAAAAAAAAGCAGCAAGAAACTTCATCGAAGCCAGGAGCTGGAAAGAAGAGGCTCGGAATTCTGGCCACGTACAAGGGAACGGAATTTATATATATATAAAAACGGATGTCCACAAAATCACGGTTGAATAAGAAAGCTAATTTCAATGATCATTTTCGCAAGCACGGGTGGGTGATAACATGCTGCTTTCAAGGTGAATCTGAGCGTTACCTGTATCGAAATAAATCAGCGATATCCCCTTCACGCATCCATCCATTCTGCACAATGCATCTCGTCGTACCCAACCCGCGAGCGACACGGCCGACATTTCAGCGGCATTGATTTCAAGACGAGAAAAACTCTGGACCTGTTTCGACATGCAGGTGTCTCGTCAGCAGTCAGGCTCGCTGGAAGCAATGCTCGTAAAGTGCCGATCTTAACTGGCAACAACCTTCTATTCACACAATGGGTGGGTGGGGGGGTTCCCTAGTTGGATGAAATATAATATCGCGGAGAATATGAAGGGCTAAATAAGACGATATTTATATATCTCCACGTAATTTTTGTTTTTTAACAAAATGAGAAACATTTATTTCTTGTCTGGTTTGTGCTTCCTCGTAGCTGGGGCCCCTGCAGAGATTTCGCCGGGCAGCGAGAGTCGTGGTGCTTCTGCATCGCCTCCTCGGGGCCCACTCGCTCACGTGAGTGGTGGGCGCAACGGGAGCTAGCACCATCGCCGTAGCCACGGCACCTCGGAACGGCTGTGACATTGCCAGCAGTTCCTTCCTACTGGCCTATTCGTATCAATGTTTTGTTCGGCTCATCTGATGACGCACGGCTTGTTGGCGAACCATCGAGTGGCGATGCTTTCAGACGCGCTTCTGCGGCCGTCTGGAACGCTCTTCCTTCCGATATTAGGAAGCCACTGGCGCTATGCACTGTTGAAGCTAGATTGAAAACTAACTTCGTTAGAACAGATTTTTGCGTTTAGTTTGTTGCGCGGTTAGCTACGTACGGTGCAAAAGAAGATCAACATACATACGGATCTCGAGTATATTGTAATTACGTAACATTTAACACTCGTATATAATATAAAGACTATATGTTAGTGATACTGTAATGTTGTCGAAAAAATATGCAAGATGCAATATTTAATTTTAGGGAATTGACATGTATAAGTGTGTACTCTCACGCATTGGCATTGCATCAGTAGTGTACTTGTACTTAACACCGACAAATATTCCGAGTTATGTTGTATACACCCCTTTAATTTGCACTATAACGTAATGTTTACAGTATGTAGACAGTTTTATTCGATGTAATGTCTTCACTGAAGTTGCGAACGCACATTTTAATGTGTGACAATTTGCTTTGGAATGTTAGTGTGCCTTGACGTGCATTTGCGCCCGTGCTAAATTGATCTCTTAAAATCCGATTTCTAATCGGATCAGGGGGCACACGCGGACAAAGTAAAGGTAGGGGGGCGGGCGGTCTCACACGCGCAAGTTTAATAAAAACCCAGCAAGAAACGTACCCAAGACAAAGATCCCCCGTATAGCCTTAACAGAATGTTGGGGCAAGTGCTGTTAGCGAGGGGCACCTGTGAAAGACCGGCACGGTACACAAGGGGGTGGGTGGCCAGCACCAAGCCCGACCGCCTTCGTCTCCCCAGTGGCGACGTTTTTACACACGGAACCAGGTATTCAATTGAGGTTGAGTCGACCTGGGGGACGGCCAGGACCGGTTCAGATAATCGTCACCTGGTGTTGGTGGCCGTGAGCGGGAATCGAACTCGGGTCGCCGGGTTCGCAACGCAAGAGGGGTTAACTGTGACACTACCGCTCCCAAGACCACAGAGATACCACGCACACACTTGCGAATCCATCCAATCTGGACATGTATAAGGGAAAAAAAGGGCTTCATAGCTCATCGAGATTCCTCCCGCGGTTGTTCTTAGAGCAGAGGTGGCCAGAATAATCCCGTTCTGGTGGACATCAATGTGGGTCCCTGGGCGATCCACCAGAAAGCTGTCGGCACCACTCACGCGGACGGAATGAACCCTGTAATGAATATACTGACTTCTCCATCTCTCCTGTTCCCCGCTCGCGGCGAGCAAACTTCCTCGACAGTGGCATCTGTCTCCTGAACACGTGTATTGCCTTGTCATTCGCAAGACAATTATTGACGATAATATAGTCATGCCAAGTACAGCACTCAGGCAAGCTATTGGTAGAAGTTAGTACGTTTGCAATGTCCGCATTGTTACGTGTGATATTTATTTTTATTTTCCATCAGCCTTAACGAAGCAATGTCCTGTGCTTATGGATAGCGTTTGTTTCGATTTGTGCAGATAATCCACGGCAAAATATTTTTGCGATCCACGTATCGGCCCCATTGTTTTTAGAGCCATCGTGTATATCCTGAACACAACAACAACCTGTATTCGCCACTAAGTGGGGGTGACGTCACCACGACGCTTGTGCCAGGCCATGTGCACCTTGAGGCCACGTGAAGTGTCGAACGCCCGCTGGCAGGTCACGGGGCAGACCCAGCAGGTGCCACGGGTCGACTGAGTTCACTTAGATTACTGGCTGATGCACCACCTGTGCCCCCTACTGTGCCAACTTGCTGTGCTTTAGCCACCCGGCGCTCCGCTCGTTATTGTGAGCGTCGCTTCTCCGCCCTCCGTTATTGTTGGAGGGCGACTGCCTCCAACAACAACGCACACACACACACACAACTCCCTCCCTCTTAAATTATGACTCACTCTCCTTTCATTCCTCGCTCATGGAAAACCCAAAAAAACACGACACGAAGTTTTTTTTTTATGACAGTGGGATGAACAAACACCCAATGACACCAGCATGCCAAGCAGCCAGCAACTCAGAGCGCTGCTGCAGTTGTGATAGTTGATGTCTTCTTGTGTCGAGCGAGATGAACAGAACTTGGGGCAGAGGGGAGGGGAGGGGGATGCGAGTGGAGGGAATTTTCGAGTCGAGCGGTGCGAGGGAAGACTTAGAAAGGGTCCACGTGACCTGCAGGGTGGAAGTTGACCAGTGGCGTGGGATGAGGGGGAAGAGACGAAATATTCCGGTAGGCAAAGTCCTCGAAGCAAACGAGTTTACATTCGATGGAACATCAACTATGGTGGTTAGGGATAGACGAGTGATGAGGAAGCGACTAACCGCTGATGCACCTCGGGGAGATGTATGATCCTATGGACAAACTGCCAGACTCGGGAGGCTAAACCCATACATAATTTCAAACGTGCAAAAAAAAACTCACCGAAACGTGTTGGTAGTGGTGTAGTCACAAATATCCGAAACGAATTCCCACATGTATTAGTATTATTATTCACGCTGTCGCACTACAGAACACAACTTAAGAAACCTGCGGCCGTGTCAGGAGAAGTCCCCTTTTCAAAGTAAAAAGCAGCGAGATATTCTGCAACCCGCAACCACAGACCAATCTCAGCTCTCTAGAACCAAAGAACAGCCACAAGCAATAGCCTTCGTACATGGCTGTAAGTGTGCACCAATTAAGGAACTTAATGGCTCAAAGCTGGTATGGAAACTTCCGACAAAGGATAGGGCCATCTCGTGTGACCGACCAATATGCAAAGTGGAACTTTAACTCTGCGAGAATAAAAGAACACTTTTGTGGGTCGTATTTACACAATTAGCTTCAATCACACTCAACTTGATCCGGCTTTAAAATATCTGGAAATTCTAGCCGAACCATTCAGCTTGCGACAATTAATTCGGTTCATTTACTGCCCATTTGTATTACCGTAATTTGATCAGCAGCTAAGTACAATTGCCATCGTGCCACCTCCAAAGCCATTTCCGTACTATTAATTACCCTATCACTTGGGTAATTATACCCTCAAGAAAGTAAGACACGTCCCAAACGTGTGCCCAATTTCAAACTTGGTCACACACGCACTCAACTTTCGTTCAAGGAAAAAAACGGAGCATCTTATAATCCAGATACGGCATTGTGTGTATGTGCGGGTGAAGGACAAACTAAACGCAAAAAAACTGTTCTGAAGAGTTTTTATTTTAAAAAATTTAAAGTATTAACCATCATTTAGAATACTTGCCATCAACGTTGCCGATGTTACCAGCACCTACCAGCTTGACAATAGGTGGGTGTCTCACCAAGAGAGTACAACCACGCGGATGTACGTTAGCCTATCGAGGCAGGCTCACATCATATGTGCGGTGTATAAACTACCTCTCGATCAACGCAGCCTACACACGAGTACCATATCTACTGCGGCGTGGTCAAAACACCGGCAATTGCGAGATGAGGGCGAGCGGGCGGGCGAGTTTCTGGCCAAACCGCCCCTTGGAGCCGCGTGTGCCGCTCGCGAACTGCACTCCCACCAGGTCTACCACACACACACACAGGGACGTTCCCTTTGTGCCGCGTGCCGGACAGGGCTCCGCGTGGCTACACCGTGGAGAGGGGGATCGCCGCGGGCTCCGGCGCACAGCGAGGCGATGGGGCCGACATTCTCTTTGACGTCTCAACGTTCAAAGCAAAGCAGCAGGTGCGGTTGGAATCACGACGGCTGCTCATATAGTCTGTGGGCCCAGACTAAGAAAGTGCACTTGTTGGTACCACCTGAGCTGACAACACTTGAGAGGAACGATTTGACGACTACAGCCAAGAGCCCACCGAGCTATGAGCTCTGGTTTCAGAGGCAACCTGGCCATGCTTGACGACAACTCGTCGAAATGGCGTGTATTACCATCCACACGTGGGAATTTATAGTAGCAGACGCATAATCCGAACACGTTCCTAAACGTGGAGGGTGCAACCGGAGGACCCCGAGATGTTCGCGCGACCACGGGGATAACTTTTAAACTCCAAATTTACAGGCGACATCAAATCCGGGACCTCCTGTGTACCAGGCGAGGGAGATAACATCTTCGCCACTGCGGTGCCCCAATAACAAGTGACCCATGCAATAACCTTACTTAATAGGTATGTACATCACATAATCCACGAACAGACAAGCCACGTACATCAACTGGTATAACTGAATAGAGTATTTAATACGTCCATAATATAGTATTTTTTGGGTTAGATCGCGTAAATAGGAATGTGTCGTTAAACCTGCCACCACGCGACACAACACATTCCTGCGGAGGGAGCTGGTAGGGACGTTAGGTTGCTCGGTCAATGGCCAGGGTCAACGGCGGCGTGGTGTATTCCGCAAATATGCCCGACTGTGAGAGCGGGCACAAGCCGGCGTGAGTAGGTTAAACGTTGAGTTTTATAAGGGCACCACGGGGTGACCAGCCCCTCCCCACCCAGCCCCACCCCTCCCACCCCCCACCCAGCCCCACCCTCGCCACCCAGCCCCTCCCCACCCAGCCCCTCCCCACCCTCCCCTCCCCACCCAGCCCCTTCCTCCCCACCCAGCCCCTCCCTGCACGACGGACAAAATAATGCCCTGTCAGTTGGTGTAACCAGGAGGTTACTACCAGTATTAAATTGGACAAACCTTACTAATTGGCTGTATCGGGTGGTGGCGGGTTTAACGACACACTTATATTTACGTGATCTAACCCACAACACCTCTTATGGATGATATTGGTCGCGAAAGCCTACGTATTTAATACGTCTAGCGGTGTCACATTTTGCTCCGGCCCATGGACTCCAATGATCACGTTTCAAAACAGCACTGCGTGAGCTGGTGTATTGCTGCTGGACTTTATTTCTATTTGACCGGTTGCGGCCCACTGGGCTCCGTAGCGCTTTTACAGAAGAGACCTGCCCACAAACGATAGCTCAACGAAGCGGCGTATGTTGTCCAGGTGTATCTTGGTCAAACTACTCTTAACAGCAATTTTCTAACATGCGGAAGGGAAAACCCGGAGGAAAAAAATAATCACGTGACCACAGGGAAAAACATGCAAACTCCACGGCCTCATGTATAGCAGGCGAGGTAGTTAACATCTCGCCGAGGTAGTTAACGTCTCGTCGTTGGTGTTCTTGTCGTTGGGCAACTTGGTGGTGCTTGGGTGTGGTGCGGGAAGTCGAGTGTTGTTGTTGTTGTGGAGACTCTAGACGCTAAGGAGTTTCTCTGCACTAACAAGCAATCGGACAGCACTCATTTGCTGTTGACAGCCCTTGGCCAGGAGTGGAAATTCCACACCCTCGTAGCAGGGGCCAGGTCACTCGGTAGAAATGCCACTGTTATTTTCCCACAACTTGAAATGTGTTCTTGGCTTGTAATTTACTGTTGTGGTCGCCATACGTTGCTGCTGCTGCTGCTGTAGTTGCACTTGTTGGTGTAGTTGTTGCTATTGTTGTTGCCGCTGCTGTGAATTGTATTTGTTGTAGCATACAGGGTGTTTCAAAACGATGGACCCAATTTCAAAGCAGTATATTTCACGATGGCAACGTGTTACAATTACACGAAAGGTTACAAACGGTTTAATGATGAGTTATCAAGTTTTACTAACCATTTTATAAATGCTCTATGTGCCCTCCACCTGCTGTACGGATAACATCGAGACGATAGTTGAATTCGTCCCAAACGCCTCTCAAAGTGTCTTCTTCCACTCAAGTCACCGCTGCCGTGATTCTGTTTTTGAGGTCATTCAGATTAGTCGCTAATGGTGGCACAAAAGCACGTTCTTTTACGTATCCCCGCCATTTCAAGTGTTAAGAGTTTAATTCATGGGTGGTTCGTTGTTGCAGAGATATAGCGATTTCAAAACGGGTCCATCTTTTTGAACACCCTGTATTGTAGCCGCTGTTGTAGATTTTATTGATGTCCTTAGTTACGGTTACTATTGTTGTTGAAGTTGCTGTTGTTGTTGAAGTTGCTATTGTTGTTGAAGTTGCTATTGTTGTTGAAGTTGCTGTTGTTGTTGAAGTTGCTATTGTTGTTGAAGTTGCTATTGTTGTTGAAGTTGCTATTGTTGTAGAAGTTGCTGTTGTTGTTGAAGTTGCTATTGTTGTTGAAGTTGCTATTGTTGTTGAAGTTGCTATTGTTGTTGAAGTTGCTATTGTTGTTGAAGTTGCTATTGTTGTTGAAGTTGCTATTGTTGTTGAAGTTGCTATTGTTGTTGAAGTTGCTATTGTTGTTGAAGTTGCTATTGTTGTTGAAGTTGCTTTGTTGTTGAAGTTGCTGTTGTTGTTGAAGTTGCTATTGTTGTTGAAGTTGCTATTGTTGTTGAAGTTGCTATTGTTGTTGAAGTTGCTATTGTTGTTGAAGTTGCTATTGTTGTTGAAGTTGCTATTGTTGTTGAAGTTGCTATTGTTGTTGAAGTTGCTGTTGTTGTTGAAGTTGCTGTTGTTGTTGAAGTTGCTATTGTTGTTGAAGTTGCTATTGTTGTTGAAGTTGCTATTGTTGTTGAAGTTGCTATTGTTGTTGAAGTTGCTATTGTTGTTGAAGTTGCTATTGTTGTTGAAGTTGCTATTGTTGTTGAAGTTGCTATTGTTGTTGAAGTTGCTGTTGTTGTTGAAGTTGCTATTGTTGTTGAAGTTGCTATTGTTGTTGAAGTTGCTATTGTTGTTGAAGTTGCTATTGTTGTTGAAGTTGCTATTGTTGTTGAAGTTGCTATTGTTGTTGAAGTTGCTATTGTTGTTGAAGTTGCTATTGTTGTTGAAGTTGCTATTGTTGTTGAAGTTGCTATTGTTGTTGAAGTTGCTATTGTTGTTGAAGTTGCTGTTGTTGTTGAAGTTGCTAGTTGTTGTTGAAGTTGCTATTGTTGTTGAAGTTGCTATTGTTGTTGAATCTATTGTTGTTGAAGTTGCTGTTGTTGTTGAAGTTGCTATTGTTGTTGAAGTTGCTATTGTTGTTGAAGTTGCTGTTGTTGTTGAAGTTGCTATTGTTGTTGAAGTTGCTATTGTTGTTGAAGTTGCTTTTGTTGTTGAAGTTGCTGTTGTTGTTGAAGTTGCTATTGTTGTTGAAGTTGCTGTTGTTGTTGAAGTTGCTATTGTTGTTGAAGTTGCTATTGTTGTTGAAGTTGCTATTGTTGTTGAAGTTGCTATTGTTGTTGAAGTTGCTGTTGTCATTTCCATTGTAGACGTTGTCACTGCATTTGTCAACGTTCGTGTCGATGCCATTGTCTTTGACGTTGCTGTGGTCATTATTGTCGTCATAAACGACGTCATTATCAATACCCAATGAAGTTTGTTTTTGGTGATATCGCGTAAATATAAAAGTGTCTTTAAATCCGCCAAAGTCAATTAGCAAGTCTTGTCACGAAAACACAAACGTGCCAATCAGTGACCACCTCAGCACACCGCTGTTGTTGGGAGAGTTCAACCCACAAGGGCATTTAAAATCCGAGCACGACAAAGCAAACACAAAAACACCGCCCACGTGTTGCACCGAATTATCAAAATGTCGTCGACGTTTTCCTTGCAATTGTTCCCCTTCGCGGTTTTCCGTTTCTGTTTTCCTTTCTTCGCCCGCAGGACGCGCTGCCGTGCCGCGCTCGCCGCCTGCTCGCCGAGCCGCGCCACGGCGGGCGCACGGACCGCGAAGTCCGCCTCCTCGTGTGGGCTCTGCGCCCCGTGCCCGCCCTGCGATGCCTCTCGGGCGCTCAGCAGCGCCGCGTGGCGCGCGCCGCGTGGCTCGCGCGGTCAGTGAGCGCGTGCGCGCGTGACCGTGCGTGCGTGCGCGCGCGTGACCGTGCGCGCGTGCGTGCGCGTGACCGTGCGCGCGTGCGTGCGCGTGACCGTGCGTACGTGACCGTGCGCCCGCGCGGCCCGGGTGCGGTGCGTCGCCTTGCTCGTGCGGTCATTTGCGGCAAAGTCGATTCTGAAACATATTTTTAAAACGCAAAAATACAACACCACCGTCAGTCAATAGCGCCTTAAAAAGGGGAAATATGTATCATACACAAATTTTTAGGCAATCACCAATCTTTATGTGTGCTCTGAAGGGTCAATGCCCGAAACGTCACGTATTGTTTCTATTTTCTTCCTCGTAATGCCACAATGTTATTGCCGAATGTGTTTAGTTATTTTTTTAATGAGCTACATGGAGATCTTTTCCGGAGATCAGCCCTAGTTTAAATTAATCACTGACCACTATTTTATTTCGACAATTTATACCATGCCCCCAAAGTGTATTAAACGGGTTCCCACAGTGTTAGAGGTCAGCCGTCCCCTAATATGGGCTCCTGAAGGCATAAAACAGCACCGAATATTGATGATTGTACTGTGCTTAAGAGTTCCAATACGAAAACTCATCTACAGATGTTGTTTCTCTGTTTGAGTGCCACCTGATAGGATAGCCACATTTCCAGGGTTTTGAGCTGGTGATCTAGACCAGGCTGAGAACCTTGGACACCCAAATTGGTGGTCACATGACATGCATGCAAGGCATGTTGGGAGATGTGCCTCCCTGTTCTTTGCGTGTTGATATTTACATTTGTTTCTAACCCACACGCAATTGGGTTTCTCATAATTTACAGATAGCGCTGGATATCAATGACAGTGCCTCTCCCATTGATATAAATGGCACCTGTCATGGGAATGTGGAATTTCCTCAACTGGCTCGGGGTTGTCATTGGAGATGAGCCCTCAGCAGTGTAGATGTTATCATTTTTTTTTGTTCCCCCAAAGTCCTGGGTTTGGGTGTCTTTCAAGATGCCAATGCCCAATGGCAGGGTACTAAGCGAGCAACTCGAATGTTCCGAGTTCAATCCTCGGGTCTGGGTGTCTGGTGTGCTGTTCCGTTTACGAAAAACAAAATCAGGTACCCATCCAAGCGAGTTCTGGTGCAACAAGGACAGATGCCACAAATATTCTACATTTGCCTCTCTGGATCAGGTAAGCAACGGTGTATATTGACATTATTGAGCCAGCAAAGCCTCACCGAAACGTAAGACTCATTGTTCCAGGAGGGTCGTACTTAAGATGTTTGGTCAGTGTTAAGTTGGGAGGAGAGGGGGGGGGGAATACTGACGCTGTACAGTTTTGACAAACTACTTATCCCACTGCCTTTTCACGGTGAAAATAAACACTGCATGCATCGCCTCGAGCACAGCAATAAACGGCAGTGCTCAATCCTTTTCCAGAAGCCCCCCCCCTAACCCCCCCATTCGCGACAAATTGTAGCCGTGCCACCATCACTCACTTGTTTCCTGTTGCAAATGTGTCGCTTGCAACAGTTCAGTGACGTGAGCGGCACACGTTCAGAATGTATCCCGCACGTTGTCCATGGCACTGCCTGCCCCGCATCCCTGGGGGGGGGGGTGGTAGAACCACGTGGGTTGAGAACCGCTACGGTGAAGCGTCAATTGATAGCGACAAAAAACCGGCAAAGACACAGCTTTAATTACAAGCTGTTGGATGGATAAATAAATCAAGCCCCGCGCCACCCCCACCTTTGTTGTAGGAAGCAAGCCAGCGGGACTTTTTCTTTTTTTCCAGAGCTTTCTCCGGAAAGTTTACGCGTGGCTTTAAGCGGCACGGCTCAAACAGCCATCGTGGCTTAAACAAGCTTTCCATCACCCGTTCGTTGCCTTTCGAGAGGGTGTTTTGTGTGTGTGTGCGCGCGTCTCGCTGTGTGTTCATTGTCGGCGTTGTTTGCTTCGTCAAAACAATGCGTGACCCCCCCCCCACGCCGTCATGGCAACGTGTATCTATTTATATATCCGTGAGTCTCCAGCGAGTTTTGCACGTGGAATTTTCTCTCTTTTTTTGGCAGAACAACAACAAACCCATAATCGGCGCGCGCGCGGTCGCAGATTCCGACCTAAGAACAGCAGCGCGTCTGTTCAACACGTAGGCTTTCGCGACCCAATATAATCCATAATTACAAACAGCGCGTATGTTGGCTCCCGTGCCGTGGCGTTTGTCCCTTGCATGTCCACAAACTTAAACCGGCAGCCCAATCAGCATCGACACGGGAGGGACACGCATTGGGACACTGCCTTCAATGTCATCTCGTTTACGGTCAGCCGATCGGCAGATCGTGCATTGTGGGGGTGAGGCGTGGGTAAGTCCCAACCCCTCCCAATATCATCATCGTCATCATGATGAAGGTGCCGTAGATGTTAGTCGTAACTCGGCTCGAGCTTTGGAATCTAAAAATGGTTCAGCTCAGGCTTGGTGCTACCGCTCGATTGGTCGAGGTACACCGATTGTTTTCTTGCACACGACGTTGACCAATTTCTCTTGTAGCCCCGCCCACCACCCCCACGTTTCATTCCCCTTAACTTGTATTTAAGGGCTGGTGATTTGGAATTTTCCTCACTTGATGCAGTAATTTTAGCTGTGACGGCCCCACCTGATGACGGAGACTTGTGTTGCCTCCGAACAGTCGTGATTTTTTTATTTTTTATTATTATATTTCCATTATTACTTTTATTAACTTTTAATTTAAATTTTTACCTACGTGACTTTACCGAAAAAACCTAAGAGTATAAATCATTGCAGTCACGGAAAGCGTCAAATCTAGAACCGCTCGATTGCTTCCGAAGGCTCGGAGCCGGTTCTATTGAGCCAGAGCCAAGCCTGAACCGAGCTGCGCCTAAGCATACGGCCCTAAAGGCGTTCACTGTGGATCATGTTTCATTTACAAACTAAATAATGCAGGTCATGACAACTCTGTTGCACATTTGTCTCAACATAAATTGTATGCGTCTTACGTATTTTAACACTCAGCCGTACAGCCGTCTGGTAAATATATATCTTCAGCGGCATTGGTTTAAAACAAGCAAACTCTGGACTGGTTTCGACATTCAGTGTCCCATTAGCAGAGTCAGGTTTGCTTATGTATACATGTTTTTATTTATACATGTATTTATGTATACATATATTTACACGACAAAGCATGGTCACCACATCTGTCAATACCACCGCCCTAGAGGAGGAATACATATTTGATAGGCAACGTTTCGGGCAAGGTCTCATCTTTATAGCACTTACGCGAAGGGTCATTGCCTGAAACGTCGGCTATCAAAAATTGTCCTTTTAAATGGCGACACAAAGTGGCTTTAAATTTCGATTTAAAGCTTTCGTGACTGCAGGGATTCATCTTCTTGGTTCTTTCGGTAAAGTCACGTAGAAGGGAAGTAATAAAATAATAAAAAATAAAACATAATAAAACAATTCTCACGACGTTTCGGCCACAACGCAAGCAGCCGTCCTCAGGTGAAAACCAGGTCCGTCGAGGCGACAGAGTCTGAATGAAACAGCACACGAGCTTGGAGCATATATATAAGCTGGGCGCATTGACAAAGGAATTTGCATATCAAAAGGAATTTAGCATATTTATGGGAAATGCAGGAATGTGATCACATATATATATGCTCCAAGCTCGTGTGCTGTTTCATTCAGACTCTGTCGCCTCGACGGACCTGGTTTTCACCTGAGGACGGCTGCTTGCGTTGTGGCCGAAACGTCGTGAGAATTGTTTTATTATGTTTTATTTTTTATTATTTTATTACTTCCCTTCTACGTGACTTTACCGAAAGAACCAAGAAAGTGGCTTTATTGACGAAGTAATTGCGTTTTTTTACGTAAATAACATAACTATAAACATCTATCGCAAACGTCAGCTCAGTTTGTTGTTTCTCCCCCCCCCCCCTCCACTGCTGCACGTTTGTTGCCAAGGCTTTGTGCGTGGTTGTGCATAGAAAGAGTTCATTGCGCCAGTCCATCTTCAAATGAGCATTCAAGGAGGAGGACACGGGGAATGTGTGATTCACACGCCTAAGCAAACGAAGCCAACAGCCCCTTTTGAAAATAAAAGTTCCGGCTCAATGCACTGTTTATTAAAGATCGCCCAGGGGAAATGAATGTGCTGTGTTTGACGAACACGGACTGAGAGAGAGAGAGAGATGCAGCCTATTCAGATAGACTCAAAACACATGTGCCGATGTGTTTCATTTCATTAAACCAGGTAGCAGTAGACGGATATTAACTGTTCATACAGATTATTATGTCATCTAAAAAGTCCGTGATTTCCCGTTCAAATAAGCATCGATGGTCATCACGGGCTTACTCCCTGCCCTGTGATAATCCGTGAGTGTTCACACACACACACCGCCCACTGCTGATAAGATAATGGTCGCTGGCCCAATATTAATCGAATTGCTGCCAGGAAATGGAACACATCCTTGGGGACTTGCACCGCGAGACGATGACGCAATGAAATCAGTGAGCTGCTACTGCGGCTGCCGGGTGGATTGCTACAGCTTCAGGGTCATGAGAGGTGACAGCAGCTTGGAAAGGGCCTTCATCCAGCAGTGGATTGAGCGCGGCCGATGACGACAGCGACTCGCCGCTCTGTTAAACCGCCGTCTACAAGTTGACTTTGGCTCAGGCTACCTGGCCGAATGACTCACACACAGTGACACAGCCCCCGTGTGTTTCAGCCATCGTCACCGTGCGGGACTCGGAGACTGGGGTCGTAAGACCCGTCTGGTTCCTGAGCCAAGGAGACAAGTTCGGGGTGAGTGTCACAATCTTAATAATAACACTGGTCAACAACAAAAACATTTCTGGCCTGGACTTTTGCAGCTGTTTTAGACTAATTTCAGGGTGCTGATTCCAAATTTGATCTCAGATTTGCTCTATCACATCTCATTTTATGCTATCGGCATACGCCATTTTCATTGATTTTACCCGAAATTAACTCTGTCACTTATGATTGCAAGTTGTTGATAGTCAGTGACTGCTTTAGTGTTAAAATATGGTGCTGTATTTTTAGGATAGCGTGTTTATAATATCATTTTATGTAGATTTCCACATTTATTTAATATTTTTCTTCTTCTGTTTTTATTGAAAATGCAATATTTGATATCTCAAAAACCTGATGTGATAGACAAAAACTGATGCCAGATTTGTAATCAGCACCCCAAAATTATCTTAAAACCGTTGAAATACCTTATGCCAGAAAAAGTGTGTTGACCTGTGTAATAAATGTTACACCTCCTTTGCCAGTAGCAAAATATGATAATTGTTTCTTTACCCTTTTATCTGGCAACAAAACTGTGCATTGCCTTTGAGTTGTGCGCCTTTTGGCGTCATCTGGTCCAACTCCATGTGAGACTAGTCTCTAAGAAAAGCTGTCTAGGGTGTGGACCAATCAATTTCAAGGGCAGTGCATACATTATGCAAAGTTGTGTTTTTTGTTTGCATTCCGACCGCAGGTATTGTGGTCAATGCAAACATGACTCCTTCTAAAAAAGGTGTCAGTTTTGTTGCCAGATAAAAGGGTATTCAGCGGTTGTCCTATGGATTGACTCACCCCCCTAACATTTAAATGTGGAATGTCCCTTCACGAGCATAGGGATCTAAAACAAGAGGTTATAGCACTGCCTCAATGCTCATTTGAGCAAGAAAAAAAACCCAGATATATTGTTTTCATATTTCACTCTGGGATGCTGCCAGTGGTGTAACGGTTGGCAGCTCTCGACTTGTAACCAAGGTCGCTGGGTTCAACCTGATCTCCCGGCACGGCAGCTCAAACAATGCGGCAAATTTCCTAAATTACGGCCCTACCTCCGTCTACCCCGCACTATAAAATGGGTTCACTTCATAGTCGTTGGGTCTTTCAGTGAAGTCACGTAGATAGGTTCAAAGAAAATAACAAAACTACGTTTAGATCGCAACACAAGCGGTCGTCATCCTGATAACGACGTTGCGATCTGGACGTCGTAGTTTTTTGTTATTTTCTTTGAACCTATCTACGTGACGTTACCGAAAGACCCAAAGAATATGAATTCCTGCAGTCACGAAAGCTTTAGGTCAAGGATTCACTACAGTTAGTCCATCGGCAGGTCACGGTGAGGTGGGTTCAAACCGTGGCCATCAGTACCTCTTCCAAGATGACTGGCTGGTATGGGAGAGTAGGCAAAATAACCCTCAAGGCGGGCTCCGTTGAGTCCCGTCTAGTGGAGGCCCCTTCCACCATCAGAGGCATTGGCCAGCAATTAGAGGGCAGCTCCTTTCACTGTTGCTACATACCGTGGTCCCACAATGCCAAAATCAATTTCACTCTTGCTTACTGGCCAGTTAAGCGGATCGCTCCAGCAACACGGTGTCCAGCCTCTGAGTCATGCAGCAGCCTCGCACTGCATGTAGCGGTGGAGTAAGTAGAGCTAATTATGTTGTCATTTATTTTGGTTCGTTCCAGGAAAAGGAAATTGTAGGGTGGCTTAAATTGGCAGTGCACGGTGATCATCGAGGAGAGCGCGGAGTTTCTGTGCCTCTTCAAGGAGGTGAGTCGTTTAACACAAAGAGGCATAACCAGTGCAGTTGTTTTCTAAATTGCCATAACACTCATCTATCTAATCAACCAAAGCCTCACCGAGGCCAGAGATGCATCTTCAGGAGGCCCCTGCATTGAATTATTTGACGAATTGGTTTGCAAACAAGCTGGGAATTATTAATGCCCAAGCCGTACCACGTGGAGTTACAATAATTCTCGTAAAGATAATCCAATAGGAACGCCGCTTTTACGTGGATCTTCTTTCGCACCGTACATAGACGACCGTGCTCAAATCGGAGGTACGGGAGAAGGACAAATTAAAAGCACGAAGAAGCAGTTGTAAAGAAATTACATTTCAATCTAATTTTAAAAGGTCCATAGCTCCAATGGCTTCCTAATAATTGGAAGGAAGAGCGTTCCAGACGGCCGCGGAAGCGCATATTAAATATTGTGCGATGCGGCGACCTTCTCAATTGACAACTCTACTCCGGATCCGTTATTTTTTTCTCCCGCTGTTGATGAAAAAAATCTAAAATGTAGTCCCAACAAGGCAACTCCTATGACTAATTGGGAATGGGACGCAAGCGTAGGATTGATCACCCTGTCGCTGGCCGCCTTTGAGGAGGGTGTATAGTATGAAAGGCCGAAACACCCTAGGAACCAAAGGTTCACTACTGACGATGCGCTCCCCAAATTTCACCAGGCTCACTGTTCATGAACTCTTGGAAGTGCTTGCACAAAGGATAGTACAATCTCATCCTGTGTTCTTTGGAATCTGAATTAAATAAACGTGTGATGGGTGTCCCCTTGGGAGGGGACAATATTGAGATTGTTCGAATGAAACGTCCCCCCCCCCCTTCCTCCCCCCAAATCACTCGCTTGTTGCGATTGTTCGCCACACTTAGGACTTCGAGAAGATCTTCCTGTCCGGCTCCAGCCGCACTGTGAGCGATCCAGATCAGCACGCCTTCCTCAGGTCAGAATCAGAATATAATATCATGGTGATCCGTGCCTAATGCCTGTGTGTAAACTGGATAGGTTGTGGATTTTCATGGAATTTAAAATAAATAAAATGTTTACCATGAAAGTCAATTTACACCAAACTGATATATAGAGAAATGTTTAATTAATAAAAACCAATACAATCCTTACATTTTAGTTTTTTTCATTAAATTACATTTTTATTAAGCCGTCATCTGATGGGCAATTACGCTAGTATATTTAACGCTGGGAGGAATCCAATCAGCTATGAAAAGCTATTTTTCCCAGATGTCCAGTCAGGGCGAGTAAGAATGTTACAAACAATACAAAAACATGATAGCAGTGCACAGTGCAAGGTTAACAAAAGGTGTGCGGTAGCCGAGCCCGCATCCCTCAATAAACGCCGCGGCCGTGAAATAAAAAAATATTAAATTAGACGACGTTTCAGGCAATGGCCCTTCTCCACAGCGCAAGTTGTCCGTGCTTCTGCACCACCTGCCAACGTGGAATCGTCAAATAACCATAATAGCATGGCAACTACTGTGCAGGTCTCATGATTCTTATCAAGGTTTTTGTTTTTTGGGTTCGATCGGGTAAATATAAGCGTGCCGCTAACCTACCAACACCCGGCAGCCAATTTGTAAGGTTTGTCACCTAAACAAAAAGTGGCAATTGCCTATCGGTTGTGTTGGAGAGTAAAACCACAACATTCACAATTCGGGTACCCGTAACGTTTCACTGGCGATCACAACCAGTTTAACGACACATTTATATTTCACACGATCCAACCAAAAAATAACCGCTATGGATAAGATTGTTCGCGAAAGCCTACAGGTAATGACGACTCTTCCGCACACAGCCACCCCGAGACAAAAAATTGCTTTCAATTTATAAAGCGCTCTAAAAATAGAACGCGTTTGCAAAAGCTGTGACAGCAGCAGGTGACAGGGGCCACGTGAAAGCGAAAGTGCCGCACAAATCTGGACAGCCGAGTTCAAAACTGCCCTTCAATAGCGCTGCTCAACATGGGCCATCAAACGCAGCATACAAAGTAAAACTGAGCAATTGTCATGGCACTGGTTGTATATTGTTTTACTATTGGTTACATCAAGTTGACTAATTTATTACGTAGGAATAAAGAAAACCACACTGATTCCAATACACATGCGATTTGCATGTGTCATGATCTTAAAAATGCATCAATGACACGTATGCCGAACTTCTTTGGCACTCCATAATAGAAGTTTTTGGGTTAGATCGCGTAAATATATAAATGTGTCGTTAAACCCCGCCACCACCCGACACAACCAACTAGTAAGGGTTGTCACGTAAACAGAACGTGCCAATTCGTCACTAGTACAGCACACCGGTGTGTTGGAGAGCCAAGCCACAACATTTACAATCCGAGTACGACGTTTCGCCAGTAATTACGACTAGCTTCATCAGGCGACAGCCAAATTTGTGGAGAATTCTTACTGTTTCGTTCCTTATATAGAGGCGTAGATGTGTTGACCACGCTTCTGCGCTCTTGCGCAATGTGGGTGGGGGATTACTGACTAACTTATATGGGGAGAATACTTTTATTTCGCAATGTAACGTAGCCAAACGCACTAATTTGAGTTATTTTCCTGAATACAATACTCCCAAAGGGCTTCATTTCTCACCGAATATTGCCCCGGGTCTCCGGTAGATTGGAGTAAGTGACATGTGACTATCAAACAGCCACAGCCAGGAGGTATACTGGATGGTTGTGTGTCGGGCATAGAAATATTTTGCGGGTCATTGGCCACCGGATAGATTCCGGCTGGAATTACTGTCTGCGTGACATTTCGCACGACCGTGCAACATGGATAGGTTTCGTGTGTTTCACTCGTTGCTTCAGCTCCCTCGGATTTCTCAAGGGCTGGCCAATCCACCTCTTGCAAGAGAAACCTGGGAGATGCCTCGTCAGCCACCACAGGTGAGCGACAATATCCACCTGCATCTTGGAAAAAAAAAGGAAAAAAAAATGAAATCGCTCACCGTAAACAAATATTGGTGAGACTCAGCGAGTCTTTCCTAGATAAACAAAGGGCATGATTATTTTTCAATGTAAAGCTTTCGTGATTGATGATAATTGCTTGTGTAGCAATCGAAACGTCGTGAGAATTTGATTGTTCAATTATAATTATTTAATTATTTCCCTTCTACGTGACTTTACCGAAAGAACCAAGAATATGAATAGGCATTATTATTATAACTATACTGATGTATAATATAAACATTCCCTAAAGGAATTGCAGTGCTGTAATTATTAATTGCATCTCCCGGCACGGGAGTTGAAACAAACTTCTTAATTCCCCTCCAACCTCTTGACCACCCACGAGTAAGTAGACACGGTTGCACAAGTTACTTGGTCGGGAAGGTCCCATCTTGTGGGTTCAAGTGTGGGTATGCCCGCACACACCAAATATACGCGCCAGTGGCTGCCCCAGTGGAGGTCCTTCTGCCAGCAATTGTACAAAGCAATAAATTCCAGGACTGAACGTTTGCCTCAACGTTTTGTTGCACACTCGAAATGAAAGGACGTGGGCAAGCACATTTATTTATTGTGGTTAATATTAATCTTGTGAGGAACAGCACTGTCACTGTGTAAAATGCAACAGCGCGTGTTACACGCAGCAATTCTTCCGAGTCACCATTAACCATGTAGCTTGTATACACGTGCGGTTATTCATTAACCCTGCCAGCCACCTACAGGCCCAACTCAGTCATCACATGCTGCTGTACACACGTGCATTGATGTACTGCACAGCACATCAGGACTTTCACAGAACCACACTTTACTCCCTTGCTGCACAAGGACATAATTAAAAGAGTGATCCATTCATAATGTGCCACAGTTTAAGTTCCCTTAAAGCTGCCAACGTGTCGGCGTGCTGCGCTGTTAACCCGGTCCACCCGAGGTCAATCGCTGAACGTGACTAACGGTGAAGAGCATGGCGCTCACCCACCCCACACCAACCCCACACCAACCCCACACCAACCCCACACCAACCCCACACCAACCCCACACCAACCCCACACCAACCCGCGTGGTCAACTATGATTACAAAAACATAAAACACAAAGACGTGAGTGAGGGGAGGTCTTCAAGCACTGTTGGATTGAGAATTGCCTGGATGCATTTGTATATAATTATTTGATATGCCTAAGAATCACCAACATTGCCCTGGTTTACTGGACCCGCCTCACCCCCTGCTGTTTCTACTAAAAAGGAGAGGCTCCGTGATTACAAAAGACAGCAGCAAGGAAGACTGGATCTACATCATAAGATCGGTAAGCGTGCCATCGGCATAATTCAAGTTTAAACTGGCTTCTGACTGTGTTCACATAGTCCGAAACGTGAATTTAATTGTTGTTGACGACCTGGTGATGCCGATGCTTGCGGCCGCATTGGCAGCGGGTGCACAATTGTAATCAAATTAAATATTTAAAAAACACAACCGCTCGTCAACGGCAGTGCGATTGATGAACAGCGGTGTCCTTTTGGCGAACGCAAAATCGATGGACCGACGTAAATGAAGCGTTAACTCGTTACACCCCCCTCCCACCCTCAGGGTAGCTGCTCTGTGCTGAAGGAATGCCGGTTGGGAGGAGACGAGAGAGGCATGGAGCCCGTGACCGACTCCTCTCGGCGAGCCCGAGGTTAGCGTCCACGGACGGCTCCACGTCCTTACGCCAGGAGAAATGTTTCACGAAACGATCCCGATCAAAACTAACATAAAACAGGCTTCATGACAGGACGATTCATCGCGACTACGGAGTTTCCACCCCCCACCCCATGCCACTTCGTAAAAAAAACGTTTCCAACGCGATTGCATTGTGACCACGTGCGAGCGTGCGCTGAACATCCTCCAAGGTGCGACACTTTACCTGCACGGTTCACTTCAGGGAGCAATAATCCTGTCCGTGCGCTAGTCAATCTCTGCAGCTCTACAGCACATTCTTGCGACAAGCCACCGTCTGCTGGAACGGTGCTCATTGCTGATAAGGCTCTCAAATTAAAGAGTTCATCCCCGAAACAAAAACCAGACCTAAGCAGGCCACGTCTTACCCCACAACCGAGTTACCCTCCAAGTGAATGTATCAATGTCCATCCCGTGGCCCCTCTCTCTCTCTCTCCGACGCCACCCAAATACCATTTGCGTCGTTATCACCAAGGAGTGGGGACGTCTGGACGGTTTATTGCGAGCGAGCGAAGCGTAATAAACCAAACCGCGCAACTCTCGCTCGTCTTCTTCTTGTGGGTGGGTGACATTCATTGAAGCTGCCCCGGTGGTTTATTTGGTTGGGTTGTGTTGGGAGGTGGAGGAGGGTGGGAAAAAAAAACATTAAAGAGGCCACAAATTTTCGACCATTTTACAAAAGGCGCCCTAAAAATAGAGCCGTGTAGAATAGGCCGCACGTGCTCGTTAAAAGGCAGAGGCTGTCGGAGCAGCTGACTGCAGAGGCCGAATGGAAAGGTTCTGCACAAAGCAAGGCGGATGCTGTGTCTGTGGAGTTGAGCTTCAGTAAAAAAAACACCGGTTTTCGTTTGCACACAACACTGTTGTCATGTGATACGTGGTCGGTCTGGCAATATGCCAAATACATTTTAACTGTTCTCACCCTTAATAGGATTTAGAATTGCAATTTGATTTTAAGATTTCGAAATTTTTTTTTACCTCTAAGTTTGTAAGGTCACGTTTGTTCCGTCTTGTTTGTACTGCCCCTTTCATTTCTAAAATGTCCCGTTTTTCGTGATTCTACCGTCTGCTCATTTCTGTCCGTCTCGATTGTACCAGCTGTTTTGTCTTTCCCCATCTCTTTCGATTTAAAGCTTTCGTGACTGCAGAGATTCATCTTCTTGGTTCTTTCGGTAAAGTCACGTAGAAGGGAAATAATAAAATAATAAATAATTAAATATAATAAAATGCAATTCTCACGACGTTTCGGCCACAACGCAAGCAGCCGTCTTTAGGTGAAGAACAGGTCTGTCGGAAAGACAGCGTCTGAATTCAGACGCTGTCTTTCCAAAGATGAGAGCATTGCACATGCATTGTGAGATGCCCAGAGGTGGGACAAAGTCATTGTTATGCAAGTCCAAGTCGAGTCTGAAGTCATCAAATTCATGACTCGAGTCTGACTCGAGTCCAAGTCACATGACTCGAGTCCACACCTCAGAGGTGGGACAAAGTCATTGTTATGCAAGTCCAAGTCGAGTCTGAAGTCATCAAATTCATGACTCGAGTCTGACTCGAGTCCAAGTCACATGACTCGAGTCCACACCTCAGAGGTGGGACAAAGTCATTGTTATGCAAGTCCAAGTCGAGTCTGAAGTCATCAAATTCATGACTCGAGTCTGACTCGAGTCCAAGTCACATGACTCGAGTCCACACCTCAGAGGTGGGACAAAGTCATTGTTATGCAAGTCCAAGTCGAGTCTGAAGTCATCAAATTCATGACTCGAGTCTGACTCGAGTCCAAGTCACATGACTCGAGTCCACACCTCAGAGGTGGGACAAAGTCATTGTTATGCAAGTCCAAGTCGAGTCTGAAGTCATCAAATTCATGACTCGAGTCTGACTCGAGTCCAAGTCACATGACTCGAGTCCACACCTCTGGAGATGCACGCACGGCATGATGGCCATTGTGCCGCCCTGACGTTTCCAAGCAGCACACCTTTCGTGTGCCGTCATTCATATTTGTTTCCAGCCTGCACGCATTTACTCGTTGCGATTGGTTCTCTCATTGACAAATAGCGATGAATTACGAATTCATGGCCGTCCCACAACTACACTGCTACACCTTTGCTTGGGTCGCAATTTTCACCTTTCGAATGTTCGTCCGCAGGTGCCGAAGAGGGCTGCAAGAGGCGGACTCTCCTCTCGTCCAAACACTGCCGCAGGCTCCGTTCAGACCCCAGCGACGCGCCCATCAACAGCCAAAGTCAGAACCGCCAGCACAGTGGCAGGGAGAGCTTCCAGGGGGACGCATCGTCCGGCGAAAGACTCTGCGGCTATGGAGCAACTTGCGAAAGCCCCAGCGGACTCCATCCCGCGCGTGGAACGGTGGCGGCCCAGGAGGTTGATGTGCGAGGAGGGATGAGGAAGATGCCCTCCCCGATGCAGTGCGCCTACCTCCTTCCAGCCATCGCCTCCAAGGACCGCTTGCCGACACTGGGCAAAGGTACAACACCTGGGGAGGTGGAATAATTATCACGACGTTGTTATTTTATTATTTCCCTTCTACGTGATGACTTTACCGAAAGAACCAAGAAGATGAATCCCTGCAGTCACGGAAGCTTTAAATCGAAATTTATACTGGTGAGGTGTCTTACACAGTGTGATGCAATGCAATACAGGAATAGAGAACTCTTCTTGAACAACAACAAAAAGTGGGTGTCAATATTTGTTAAGCCAGAAAGAGTCTCAGCAATCACTGTCAGGAGGGTCTCAGCCTGGGATGTTTGGTTTGATATACAGCAGTCGCCCGCTATAAGTTGTCGCACTATGCGTTGTGTCACATTTACATTGCCATCAATTAGGGAGCATATCTACTTACAAATGTAGAACACCGCATCATGGCGCGGTGGTGAGAGGTTAATTACCACGCCTGGTATAGAGGTCGTGGGTTCGATTCAAACCCTGATGCCTGTATATTTGGAGTTTGCATGTTTTCCCATGATCGCGTGGAATTTTATCCAGGTTCTCTGGTTTTCCCCTCCACGTTCAGAAACATGCGTTCATAGTGTTTGGCTGCCCTAAATATCCACATAAGCCACTTCGTTGAGCTATCATTTGTGGCCAGATCGTTCCTGAAAGAGAGCTATATAGCTCAGTGGGCCTTAACTGGTAAAATATAAATAGTTTATCGTTTAAATGTAGATTTAAAGCTTTCGTGACTGCAGGGATTCATATTATTGGTTCTTTCTGTAAAGTCACGTAGAAGGGAAATAATAAAACAATAAAAATATAAAACAATAAAAATTCTCACGACGTTTCGACTGCAACACAAGCAAGCATCATCAGGTGTGAAATCTACACTAAGAAAATCCACAGCAAGAACATTTTCTCGTGATGCAGTCGAAATATCGTAATAATTTATATTATTTTATATTTTTATAATTTTATTATTTCCCTTCTACGTAACTTTACCGAAAGAACCAAGAATATAGTTTATAGTTTTACAATAAGCGGGTAATTTAGATAGAAATGTGGGGCTCGTGGCTTTTGATTCGAGTTCCAGCAGATCGTGTCTTTCCCGTGTCACCGATGAATGTTGCCGATGTGCTGTTGCATGCGTAATGTCGTTGACAGTTCGCAAAGCCCACGAAGAAAAACACACGAGGACGTTTTTTATCCGAGTGGACACCCTCGACGAAGGACGCGAATTTGTGAGTTCAGCGGCAAAGTTTGACGACTCGGTTCATGATTTGGCTTGGGAACAGCCAGACACAGTCACGTGTTGGCCATCCCTAAAGAGACACGTAATGATTGCAGTGCATTAGGCGACTTCACAGAAGATGCAGGACTCTAAAGCAATGTGGCCAGGAAAGGGTGTCATTTACAACTGGCCTTCAATGCACTTTAGAAAGCAGCTACTGAAAACAATGAGATGTGGTAATCTCTTTCTCACCGCATGTATCCATCCGTGCTAAACGAATGTGCGCACAGTACAGGGATTAATGCTCCCAAATAATTTAAAAACACAAGTCAAAGTCATGGTGGAAATTCGACATTCCTCGTTTGGGGAGAAGTCTGGTATGTGCTGTCAAAGATCACTCGAGTCATTCGGTTCAAAACACTTGATTTAAAAAAGGAGTATTGAACATACATATTCCATGCAAATGGAACTACGGTCACATTTGAATTAATCAATAGATCATACCTTCTTGACACCCTGTATATGAACGTCAATGAGATGACATGCATGATAATGACGAAAATTGCTATAAGGACAATGATGGTGTCAATTATGGCGGCGCTGCCTGCTGATAGTACCAACACAAATGGAATTGTTAAATGACAATAATGGCAACGATGACAGATAATGACAGAGACGATCGCGAGAAGCTGAAAATATACCAATGACGTCGGCGACAACGACGGCATTCATGACGACAATAGCGATGACAATGTGTGCCGTGCCCAGGGCTTGGTGGACGCGCTGCTGGGAACGCAGAGCGGCTTTGCGCTCGTCAGCGACGGTGCCGAGTGTCTGCTCGTCCCACGGCAACTCTTCTTGCGGCACGCGCCCCCGGCCCTGCTGGAGAGGCTCAAGCGCGAGGCGAGTGGCCGTAATTGGGTGGGGGGTTGAAAATAATCATTCGGCGTATGGGATAACCGGTGGACAAAAATGCCAACCTATATATATGAAAAAAATATATAGGTAATTAGAAAATATATACAACTATATATAGGACAAAAAGCCAACCAATATACAGGCAGTCTTCTACTTACGATGGAGATGCATTACGACGACCCCATCGTAAGTCGAAAATATCGTAAGTCGAAGATGGCCTAGCCTACCCAGGAGTCTTAAAGAATGGTGATAATTTAGAAAAAAAGAGCAATTTACAGTACCGTACTGTATAAACTATATACTGTATGTATTAATTACAATATTTTATTGCACTGTAAAATGTGAAGTAAAAAATAACTACGTAAATTCTTAGCCTAACTTCATGAACTGCAATTTAATGGAAAGTTTGTTCAGGAAATAATCCTATCTGCTATAAAAACTTTTAACATGCATTGAACGTATCGAATCGTGGTAACCTTAAAATGAAATCGCTAAAGCTACGTATCATAAATGCATTTAACGTATCGTAACGTATCATATTGTACTGTACTAACCAAGATTCTGTCCGTCGTCTGCATACTTGAACGATGTTAGGTTGTTGCTGGCAATTTTGTCGCATCGTAACTCGGGGACTACCTGTATATAGAAAACTCTCCAAAAACATGTTGGTGCCAATTCTCACCGCCTCTCTGCTTTGGTCCGATTTCCCACGCCTCCGAATCACTCTGAAGCTTGGAGAGCCAAATGGAGTTCAAAATAACTCAAAAACGCCTTGGTGACAGAGCCGAGGCAGAAGATCCCCGGGGTTTTGATCTGTCACGAAGCTTATGGTCCGCCATGAAATCGGGACCTACCTGTGCCACTGGTCATCTATGAAGAGACCGCACAACTTAGCGACGTCACACCTGGTCCATGGAGACATCGCAGCGACACACTCTGCTGCTCCCAATGCGGTTATCGGACTTAACCACCTGAATGTGAAATTTAAATCGTTGCTCTGCATGTACGAAAGACCAAGTGGGTAAAAACTGCCCGTGTAATTAATAATACATTATGAATATAATCACAAAGTAGCCTGTTTTATTTTCTACCTACGTGACTTTACCGAAAGAACCAAAGAGTATGAATCCCTGCAGTCACGAAAACTTCAAAACTAGATTATTCACAAAATAGCCTCTTTAAAATACAGCTAATACATTTCTTACATGAAATAAGTAACAAGTGATTCGAAATAAGCTCTGCTCTATCCAATTATCCAGTTACACTTACTATAACATTTTATCTACATAATTACACCTTGTCATACTTACCTGTTATCTTATTTGTATTTTTGTATTCTAAGATTGTATTTTACGGCTAATTCACATTTTACATTTCACATTTTATATGGTCTACTTATTCATAATTTTACATACTTTAGCCCGTTAGTACAGGGTGACCCAAAAAAAACGGGCCCCAACTCTAATAGGCCCCGTGTGCACGGGGCCCGTTTTTTTTGGGTCACCCTGTATTAGTTATACTTTGTAACGTTAGTATAGTTAGACTGTATATCACCTATTTAAGTTTTTAAGATTCCTACATGTTGAAAGTATGCACCTTCCGGCCATAGTAAATTCCGTGTATGTGCAAACTTTCATGGCAATTAAAACCGTTTCTGAATTCTGAATTCTGAAAAACAACATGTAGCAATAACCATCGTAAGCTGCCACGGACAATGCACCCTGCGTTCGTGTCATCCCCTACCAATAATACCAATACCGGACATTCGCCACTCAGTGACGGGGAGGTCACCACGCCGCCTGTGCCAGCCACATCCCAGAGGGACCAAAGCTGATACTTAGCCGACCGAATCTTTGCGATCCCGGGCCCGATACACAAACTTGGGAACAGTTACACGTTCCAAAAAAACGTGGGCAGCCCACATACAAAGACAATATTTGCTTTTCGATTTAAAGCTTTCGTGACTGCAGGGATTCATTCAGACGTTGTCTTTCCGACAGACCTGTTCTTCACCTGAAGACGGCTGCTTGTGTTGTGGCCTGAAACGTCGTGAGAATTATTTTATTAAGTATATTTATTTATTTTATTATTTCCCTTCTAAGTGAATTTACCGAAAGAACCAAGAAGACAATATTTGCTATACAAATTTTTTTTTAATTATTCCAAAATTACGGAGTTACTCGAACCCAGGTTGCACTTGCAAAAAAAGTGCAATGGCTCGTCACTTGCCCCAGTGGGTTTATCCAATGTCCTGGTTAAATAAAATCATGCCCACTGACGACTTGTGTAACTAGTGAAAAATCTGGTTTAATTTCTCCTACTTCTTGTTGGAAACTTAGATGAAATCTTTTTTTAAGGCAGTGTGCCAGTGGAAAAAGAAAGCAATGAATGAAACTAAAACAAAAGCTCTTCGATGGAAAAAAAATCGAAAGGCAGCAGCCGTGTATGTGGGCAGAATTGCAATTGAAATGTGCGGCTAATCGGCTCAAATAAAAGAAAAGGGATGTGGGGTGGTGGGGCTGTGTAACTTTGCCTCGACTTTTACATTACTCGTTAAAATGTGGCCCGCGAAACGATCTCGGTCGCCTGGAGACGCGAGAC